GAGAAGGGGAGGGGGAGGAGACGAAGAGGGATCAGGAACGTCCAGTTGGGAAGAACAGAGAAGGAAAGCAAGAAAAGAGATACCTTAATAGAAGGAGCCATTATGGGTTTAACAAGAAACCTGGCAGTAAGGAAATCTATAGGAATCCACAAAGATGACACCAACTCAGAATCTAAGCAATCACAGAGAGGCTACCTTAAATGCCCTTCCCCTATAATGAGACTGATGACTACCTTAAATGCCATCCTAGAGCCTTCACCCAGTAGCTGATGGAAGAATAAGCAGAGATTCACAGCAAAGCACTGAGCTGAACTCCTGGAGTCCAGTTGTAGAAAGGGAGGAGTGAAGAGCAAAGGGGTGAAGACCAGGATGGTGAAACCCACAGAAACAGCTGACCTGAACAAGTGGGATCTCATGGACCCCAGTTTGATAGTTGGGAAACCAGCTTAGGACTGACCCTGACACCCTGAACATGGGTGCTAACTGGGGGGCTTGGGCAGTTTTGGGGGTCTCTTTCAGTGGAACCACTATTTATCCCTAATGCATGAATGGACTTTTAGGAGTCCACTCCCTATAGAGGAATACTCTCTCAGTCTAGATACACAGGGGAGGGCCCAGGTCCTGCTCTAAATGATATGACAGAGTTTGATGATCCCTCTTGGGAGTCCTCACCCTCCATGAGGAGTGGATCCAGGTGGGGGTGCAATGGGGCAGAGTGGCTCAGGTGGCGGCAGTGAGAGGACAGAAGGGAGAGGGAATGGGATTGGTATGTAAAATAAGATTGAATAAAATAAAAGTAAAATAAAAAAACAAACAAAAAACTATTGGGATTTACCAAAAAGAAAAATAAAGGGGGTTGCTCCACCAGTCCAGCTTCCTGTGATCATTTCTTAATATTTTGTTTTCAGCTAGGGGTGCACATGCATGTAGTTATCCATGGAAGCAGAGGGGAGATTGCATTTCCAAGGCCTGTACTCTGTGAGCTGTAAGACATGGATGCTGAGAACTGAACCTAACTCCTCAGTTGCTAAGGCCTCTTAACCACAGAACCAGCCTCATTATAGTTCTTTGTTCGTTTGGTTTGGTTTGAGTTGGTTTTTTTTTTTTTTTTTTTTTTTTTTGTTTTCTTTGTGTTTTTTTG